TCTTTCCCCTCCTGCAGCTCTGACCGTGAAGTTTCTAACCAAGAGGTTCATAAGCGAATATGATCCGAACTTGGGTAAGACGCTTTCTCTGCGGGTGTTTCCCCCCAGCTGTCCCCCATGAGCTCCCACAGAGCATCCTTCCCATCTCCTGTGTTTCCCACGAATATGGCATTTAAGGGGAAAAAAAAAAAAAAAACAATACCCAAAATTACATGGAAAAACAACGGAAGGGCTGGATTTGACCCAAACCCGCCTGTAAAAACAGAGGTGAAAGCAGCGCTTTCTCCGCAGGCAAGTCCCACGGGGGAACGTCGTCTCCTCGCATCACCCCAAAGAAACTGAAAACTGAATTATTTGGGATCCTTAGGGAGCGTCTCGTGCCTCCTGCTCGCTCCCGGGGGCGTCGGGTAGGGGAAGAGCTGGGGGAGCGAGCAGGGGCCACAGAGCAGGCAGCCCCGGGGGCTGCGCTTTGCAGTGAGCAGTTCTGGACATTTTTAAGGGTTTTTTTTTCCACTCGTTTGAGTAATTAATAACTGTTTTCCTAGGCCTGACTCCAGGGCACGGGGAAGAACCGTAAATGATTTATAAAGGGACATTAGGGAGATATGGACCTTGTCCAGGAACCGAGTCCAGCCCCTAATAACTCAGCGACTCTTAAGAAAGAAGGATAAATCCTTTCCTCCTCGGATCTTTTTTTGGGAATGTGGTTTCATCTTCCCACGTCAAAATCTTTCCGAAATGCATCCGTTAGGACCCAGCCGGGAGAAGGCATCTTTCTCCCTGGGGAACGGCTCAGTGGCTCTCCCTGCCTGCCCCCCTTCCAAAAGAAAGGGATGCTTCTTTTGCCTGATTTATTAGGAAACAGCCCCGGTGTCGAGCCCCCAGCTCGCTTTATCTCTCCAGGTCACGGCATTTAGATAAGGGCCGAGCCCCAGGCACAGCGATGGCCACACTAGGCTCCTTCCCCTTCCTCCTTCTCCCATGGGAGCCCACGCTTGCGGCATGCAGGGGGGAATAACCACTCCCAGCTGGGCTTGCCCAGCAGCATCACTGCCAGCCCCCCAAAATAACGTTGTCTCAGGAAGGAGCGAGGTGGGAGGCATCGCTGGAGGATGCTCCTCATCGGGGGGCTGAGATTTTTCCATGGTGTCCCAAGCATCCAGGGCTTTGCTTGGCTTTGGAGAAGACAGGACACCCCAGCGCATCCTCCCAACCACCCTTCTCCTTGCAGAGGACACCTACGCCTCGGAGGAGCTGGTAGACCAGCAGCCCGTGCTGCTGAAGGTGATGGACACCGCCGACCAGGTGAGGCACCGAGGCACCGCTGGTGCCAAACGCTCGGCGCGACGTGGCCGGACCACGGCTGGACCACGGCTCAGCTGCTCCTCTCGCCCTCAGGACGGCCCCGGGAATTGCGAGCGCTACCTGCGCTGGGCCAGCGCCTTCCTCGTCGTCTACAGCATCGACGATAGGAAGAGCTTCGAGGGCTGCCAGCGCTACCTGGAGGTCCTCGCCCTGCACGTGAGGGGCTGCCGGCACCGCTGCCCCGTGCTCCTGCTGGGCAACAAGCTGGACATGGAGCAGTACAGGTATCGCGTGCGGGGCAAGGCTGTCTTTTCCTGGAGGGGTAGAGCTCACAGAGGCCCCCCCCCGAGCCCTCCGGCTGGGATGCAAAACCCAAATCTGATTTTTTTTGGTGGTTATTTCCACCCCTGTTGGTATTTGCCATGTCCTCCCACATCTCTGAGGTTCCTGCTCTCCTGCCCGGGGCCAGGAACGTGCTTATTTTGAGCCTGTTGGTATTTTCAGCGGGATGTTTTTCGGCTGCGTGGTAAGGCAGCGTCACCGGCCCCGGGCAGGGCTTGAGCCTGCTCCAGCGCCCAGCTCCCCTCTGGATGTGCCCTTTCCCTGGAGCCCGTTCTCGCCCCATCCCTGCTGCCAGGACTGGATGTCCCCGGTGTGTTTTTCTGGCCTTTTGTGCTGTTCTGGGGATGTGCTGCCTGTTGGTCCCATGGGTCTTTGAGTCACGCACGTCGCTGAACATCCCCCTCAGGCATTGCTGAACCCCGCCATGCTCCCAGCACGGAATCTGGCAGGAGGCTTCCCCCTCCCCACAGCGAGGACCTGCCCCATCTCCTCCCTCCTTCCCAGCGCGATGCCATCGCATCCAGCCCCCTGTGCCCCCGCGGCACACGTCCCCGCCAGGCTCTCCCGGCACGGGAGGCTGCGCAATTCCCCAAGGACCCACGCAGCCTGTCACTCCGGGATTTTGGGAAAGGCAAAACCCCTTTGGAACCATGTCCCCTGCTTGTCCCAGGTTCCCTGGCGCTCGCTGGGAAGCAGGCGCAGGGTGTGGGGCCTGTTGCTTGCACCCCTTGCTCCCCTTTTTGGCTGGTTGCAGCACCCCAAGGGGTGCTGCACCCGTCCCCTCCGCTCTCACCAGGCAGGTGCCTGCAGCTGAAGGGATGTCGCTGGCGAGCAGATTTGGGTGCCTCTTCTACGAGGTGTCAGCGTGCCAGGACTTCACGGGGGTGCAGCACGTCTTCCACGAAGCCGTGCGGGAGGTGCGGCGCCGGGAGGTGCGGCACCAGGCGGAGCGGAGCGCGCCTGTCCGGCCGCTCTTCATCACCGAGGAGCACCCCTGCCCGCCGGTGGCCATGCCGCCACCCGCCACGGCTTGGCCAGCTGCACCTTCAACACTCTCTCCACCGTCAACTACAAGGAGATCCCCTCGGTGGCCCAGGCCAAGCTGGTCACCGTCAAGTCCTCGCGGGCTCAGAGCAAGAGGAAAGCTCCCACGCTCACCTTGCTGAAAGGCTTCAAGATATTTTAGGACGCCTCCCTGCGGGCTGCGGAGGGGGTGGTGAGAGACCTCCGTCCCCCTGGCTCACCTTCAACACTCTCTCCACCGTCAACTACAAGGAGATCCCCTCGGTGGCCCAGGCCAAGCTGGTCACCGTCAAGTCCTCGCGGGCTCAGAGCAAGAGGAAAGCTCCCACGCTCACCTTGCTGAAAGGCTTCAAGATATTTTAGGACGCCTCCCTGCGGGCTGCGGAGGGGGTGGTGAGAGACCTCCGTCCCCCTGGCTCCACCAGGGCTGGGACCATCCGTGACGGACTCAGGGGCACTGCGGCAGCTGCTGGCGGACGGTGGCTCTGGTCTCCACGCGGTGGCAGTTTGGCGAGCACACAGGGTGCTGAGAGTCTGAAATCGGCTGGGGCATCACTCTGCCTGCCCCTGCCCTGGGTCTTGTCCCCCTTGGCCAAGCGCTCCCACGGTGGTTGCCCTGTCCTGCCACCGGCACCGAGGGCCAGCCCAGCTTTCCGTGCAGATCCCGGTAGTTCCTGGAGCAGCCGGAGCCACAGGCACCATGGGGAGGGTGAGGGCTGTCCCCAGGGCCCCCCAGCCGGCTTGGGTGTCCGGAGCACAGCGATGGGAGCCCAGGAAGGGGGAATGAATCATTACTTGTGGAGGCACCCGTCTCCTTCACCTCAAGGGTCCCCTGACCAAGCAATAAGTAGGAGGAATTTTAATTCTTTTTTCAATCCAAACAGAAAAGGTGCAGATATTTTTTCAGCCTCAGGTGTCCTGAAACTGATTCCCATGCATTGACATAAGTCGTACCGAAACAGCTGGTTTTTAAATCAACTTTTTACGCTACAGTGTTCCTTTTCAAAGGCTTTGCAAGGAGAGATGCTTCACTGACAAGGACACGCTCTGAAAAGCCTTCGTTTAAAAGACTGATGTATTTCTGAAAATGTCTTAAATTATTTCGTGGCTTCTCCACGTGCCCAGTGAAGGGTGTGAAGTGAATCCTAAAGCAGATGTGCCCAAGCCAGGGCCAAGGGCTGCGCGTTGGGTTTCGCTTGCTGCATCAGGCTCAGTGTTCTGCTGCTCCCGGGGGCTGCAGTTCCTCTGCAGAGTAAAACACCCATGTGTATATTTGTACATATAGATATATATACGATCTTACCGATGGAGAGAGAGATTCAATACGGGATTTCAATCAACTCCTTCAGAAAATATTTTAATAAAGATGATTTCTGAAAGAACAAAAGCACCTCTGCTTCGGTGTGGCTGTTCTCCTGACGGGACAGGACGGCACGTTCCCTGGCTGACCACAGGAAGAGCTTCCCACCTCGGCACCCACCCGATTGCAGCAGGGGCAGGCGGCGTCTGAGGGAGGGGGTAATGCTGGGGTGGGAGAGAAGACTGGAGGCAGCCGAGCGCAGCAGGTAAAGACCAGCCAGGAGCTGAAATGGGGGAGGCCCGGTTTTCCCTCGAGTCCAGAGCCACTTCTGCTGGTGCAGCTCTGCTGCTTGCTTCTTTTTGCTTTTTTTTCCCTCTGTTTCCTCAGGCTAAACTGCGTTTTTAAACTTCCATCACTACGAATTGAGACATTCTGATACATCCCTAAATGGTTTGACTTCAGCTGCTGTTATATGGCAGCCTCAGACCTCTCTGTGTACAGAGACGTGATGGTCCCGTCTTTCCACTGGACCGTCACTTCTCCTGATCTCTGTTCCTGGGGCACCAGCTCCTCCTTTCGCGGTTCGGCCGGGCTGTGTTCCTGCACAGCCATCAGGGCTTGCTTGGCTTCCAGCTCCGCCTGCTGCGCCGTTTGCACTGCTTCTTCATACAGGTGGAGCTTCCTTTTCCTGCAGGGAAGGCACAGAAAAGGCAACACAAGAGTGAAGCAGCGAGCCCAGCTCACAGCAGGGGGCAAGTATCTCCCCCCTGGTGATGGTTATATCCAACTCTTCACACCCTGGCCCTGGGAACACACGAGCTGCTACGGGGCAAACCCCGCCAGCTGCGCCGTGTCACCTAAGTGAGCTGAAGCGTTTGAGCACACGCAGCCACAGCGTTTGCTCCTGGCGAACACATGACGTCGCCCAACGCGGGGCAGTAACACCCGGCAAGCCGTCGTCCAAACAAGAGCACGGCAGACTTGTAACATCAGCTCTTTTTCTCTTATTTTAAGATGAAAGTGCTGGCCCAGATGTGAGTTTTCTTGCTGTAGAAAACAGCAAGTGGTTCCTCAGCTGCAGGGTGGTTGTGCAGCAGTGCAGCCCAGGGAAAGCAGATGGGGAAAGGCCGGGGAGTCCTGCTCCAGAGCCCCTGTACTTGTGGGACAGCACCTCCCAGCACACACGTAATGTCACTTCCCTCCCAACAGCCCTGTTTTGTCTCCTGAGGGCAGGGCTGGGCAGAGCTGTTGCAGACCTTGGTGAGGATCCAGGGCCCTGAGAAGTGAAGTGGCTCATCCAGGAGGAGAGCAGGGAGCCAGGCAAGGTTTTACACGGTTCAAAGGGAGTTTGTCTTCGCTCTTGTCTCCGTCACTCAGGGCTTGGTCCTGCCCTGTGTCCGAGCATGCTGCCCTGCTCTGCCAACCCCCCAGGTCTGTCTGCCTGGGCGGGGGGGGGTGTCAGCGCACCAGCACACACCAAAAGACACCCAGATTTTCCTGACTCACCTGTTTCGCACAACGTTAACGGCCAGAAGGAGAAGACCCAAAATCATGGCCATGAAGGAAAGCGCAAGGACGGTGTAATTCCACGTTGATGCTGGGAGAAAGCACAGAGGCAGCGTTAACATGCACAGAAGTGTGAGGTGCGGAGCTCAACCAGGCATTTGCTCAGAGCGCCGTGGTGTGGCTACAGCATGAGGGCAGAGGCTCTGGTGTCATGCTCAGCACCAAAAGCAGAGCCCCCAGGTCATATTTTTGGGGATAACCTCAGGTGACTCCCCCTCCCCAGGCAGGTGGCTTACACAACTGCTTTCTGCCGCTCGCAGCTCCCCGCCCTGGGCTCTGTCTCTCTCACGCTGACCACGTCAGCCACCCACGGCTTTTCAACTCGGCCTGAGAGCCGAGGGCGGCTGTGCCTGAGGGTGGGAGCAAGGCTGAGAGCTGCAGCATCCCACCATGACCACCCCCAGAAGAGCCCCTCCACTCTGCAGCCTTTCTCACCACCGCCAAGGTTTTGCCTTCCCACACCAGCTGGCGTGTGCAGCACAGAGGGCAGCGAACGCTCTGTCCTTCATCTTTGTGGCTTTGAAGTCGAGCCTCGGGGCGCTGCTCATATGAATCTGCTCCCTCCACCCTGCCAAAATCACTGGTCATCCCAGACCTTTGCTCTCTTGGCAGGCTATGCCTGGAAAGGGGCTGAACCCCTCTCTGTGAGGAGACACTACCTCAGCAAAGCCTCATTGCCTGTCTTCACCCATCACCTGCTTCTTCTGAAGGTGAGATTGAGGGTTTATGTATCTGGGGTAAATCACCTCCTCAGGTAATTCCCTGGGGCATCTCCATTAGGCAGGAGGGTTAACAACCAAGGATTGTGTATCTCTATTTCAGCTCTCAATCCAGGAATGTCAATGGGACTTACGGTCTTCTCTGCGGAAGAACCAGAGCAGCTCCTCCAGCTCTTCTTGATCTATACCCAGCGCAAGAGTCATGTTGCCTGCTGTGTGGTCATACACGTGTGTGCTGGCAAGGGCTGCAAGGAAGTACCTGTCTTGCTCTGCCTTGGCTGTGGAGGAAAAGAGCACAAAGATGCAGTGGTTGCTCGCTGCAGCGCTTCAGGCTAGAAATGTCCGTCCCCTGAGCTCTCAGGGCTGCCCAGCGCGTCTCTCCAAGCAGGCAGAGCGCAGCCCTGAGGACACAGCCCTGTCTCATCCACCGAGAAGCGGAGAGCATTGCTAGCTCACGCTGCAGATCCCACTATGGTGGGGCACCCAGGGTTGGAAAGACCCCAGGACACTGACTGTGCCTTTCCACATTGCCCAGCAGCGTGCGTGCGCGTGCTACTGGTCCCCGTGTGTGCAGCACTTACCTGCTTTCTCCTCACACACGCTCCTGTCTGCAAGATCTTGCCATTGGGCCTTGAGGCCTCTCACGTTATTGAGAGTGACTTCTCTCCTGTTTGCCACCAGGTAGCCCTGGCTGCTGCCCAGAGGAGAGAGCAGTGAACTCGAGCAGTCCCAGCTGACGTAGCCCATGCTGCTGCAGAGACTGGTCTGCACTCTGTCGGCCCCCAGCACGGAGAGGCAGCTCTGTGTGCCATGATTCATCAAAGAGTCGCCTTGCCAAGACCAGTCCTGGAAATCCGACTCTGGATTACACTCCTCCAGCAATAAATTCCCATTCATCGGGCTGGCTTGTAAACACAGCTTGACTTTAGCATTTTTCATCAGAAAAGCTTCAGTGTCTGCAAAGAAACCACCGTTATGAGTGTAGCCACCCCCTAAGCACTGGACATACATGCACACACAGTGTATAGGGTAGACGGGAATAACACCCAGTTCTTGATCTGGGAAAGCAGCATAGGGCAAAAAGCATTCAGGAGGCAAACTGCTTCCAGTCCAGCTCCTCTCTGCCAGGGCTGCTGGGCTCAGAGCTGAGCTTTCCCTAACCCACGCTCCTCAGCAAACATGGCTCCGGCACGTCCTTTTGGGTGGGTCCTGGGAAGCCCAGCTAGACCTGCCCTTGTGCCTAGTGCTGAGCTCTGAAGCTCTATCTGTAGTTGTTCCCCAGAGACGAGATGATGATAAGCTCCTCTCCTGGACTTGAGCTCTGCTAGGCCCCTTGGGGTGCCGGCTGGTGCCAGCCCCCAGCGCTGCGCAGCCTGGCCCACGCTTAGCCCCCTCCTGCCACTCTTGGGAGGTGGGAAGCTGCTCTCCTGGGTTGTTCCAAGAGGCAGAGGAGGCTCAGACCCTTTGGTGAGCCTCATCGCTAGCTTCTGCTTTCCCTCTGGGGACAGGCACCCTGATGTCCCGCTCTAGCTGGATGAGCTTGGAACTGTCTCCAACGTCTCTGTTTCTGGGGAACCA